CCCGCCCCGTCACGTGCCGCCGAAGCCCCGCCCCGGGGCGCACCTGGCGGCTCCGCCCCGCGCTGGGGTTCCAACCCTGGCGGTCGGCAGGGCCCGCGGCCGGCCCAAAGCTCCCCCTCGGCAGCGCCGGGGAGCCGCAGGGACGAGGGACCTGGGAGCGAGGGTCATTGTGAGCCGCCTGCCCCGGACCTCACCCCGGGGGACGGGCACCGGCAAAGAGGCACTTCGGTCCCCTCCTCAGCACGCGAAGCTCACAGCACCGCGGTGCTCAGACAGCGGAGAGCTGGCTCCTGTCGTCGTTTATCCAGACTGTGTCCCCCACCCTCAACTTATTCATTCTCCTCTCCCTACATTTAGATGGCTTCAGGGGACGGGAAGGCTTTGTCAGGATACAAGAGAAGCAGCTTTTTCATTTTAATAATACATTTTCCTTGATAAATTCAAACAAATACTTTTCCAAAAAGAAAAATATCAAAGACAAATCTACTGTACAACACATGCTTTAGTTTATAAAACATAAGTTACAAAACAGCAATAAGTAACATAGTTAAAGGGTTTTTTATTTACATTACTTTTTTTTATTACAATGTACATTTTATACTCTATTCCCTCAAAAGGATTAAAGGATCCAAACAGTAGCATTCCTTAAAATTCTGAGATGTAGTTAGACCTTCAACAAAAAGATTAACTGTGTACAAAGAAATAAGAGTTTCTGTACGTCCGGTATATCAAATAGGAAGTGTAAAAGTAACCTGTGTGTTACACTCTTCCTTAATAGTTTTCTTTCAAACTATTTCAGCTAGTTATTTATAAAGTTTTATTTTATATTGTTTAAACAATATAGAATTCTTTGATGGCTCAGGTAGGCAGGGAACAAAAACGTTATAATCTAGACACACCGAGGACCCTGTATTGCGAAGTCAAGGAAAACTGCCTAACCATAGCCCCTTAATGTTGTCCCAATACATGCTTGCCTTGATCTTGTAGCCCACACTCATGTAAACAGCTGTAGCAGCAACTGAAGTACAGTCTAGATTTGTCCCATTCTTTGTAAAAAAGCCATCAATGTTACAGTTATTCAAGTATAAATGTTTTGCCACAAAACACAAGATGAAGAATCCAGTAAGCAACATTAAACCAACAGGTTAAAATGTTGATGCATTCAGTCACTATCATATTCCTCTATCTTTAATTCATCTTCCTCCATGATTGCTTGAGCTGTAACAGGTTGAGGCTGGCTGCCTGGTAGATCATTTCTGCCAGGTTGGCTGGAAGTAAGAGGGAATCCACCTGGTTCAGCCTCATTTGTTTTGTTATTCTCTATCTGTACAAACATCTCCACTGCCTGTGCACCAGCAATGTCCCCTTCATAATTACTGTCAAAGTCTGGCATTCCAGGATCCTTATCTGTCAGCGTTTCAAGCTTTAACCTGAAAAATCATGATCATTACAAACATCAATAACAAAAGCTTTATTCTCTCAAAGGCGCAGAAGTTGAAATGGAAGAGGTCCCCCACGTATCACATGGAATATTTCTTCTTCCTTAATGTTTATAGCTTTCAAATATCCTTGCACTGCTATAAATCACATTAATCGCAGTTCAGCTAAGTCATATACATTCTTCATAAAAATATACTCATCAGTTTTTATTTTTAAACACTGCCCAATTGTACAGACTGGGTGTCCCAAACAACACAACATTCCAGGCGCACTTGCAGAGTTGTGTAAGAGTATAATACGCTGCCGTCTTAAGGGCTGCCTTGTATTGTAGCTGTTGCTGCACTCTCACTTCCGAAGTCTACTATTACTGCTTTAGACTGCTCCTGGCACTGATTATTGAATGGGGGATTCCCATTATTTTCTCTCACAAAAGTATGAATCATTACAAATTCAATGGTATGTGTGAAAAAAAAAAAAAGACTAACATACTGTGTGCCACTGAAAACAAGAGATGCCACTGCTCCTTAGCATTCATTTAATAGACAAGCACACCAAGGGAAGGAAGAGATACAATTTGTTTTCCATTTTGTTTTTCTGAGCTAAGTCTTTTTGAACTTTTATCACGAGTGGTATTCAGGATACCCCTGACTTAATATATCACCTACAAAATTTAGTTTATGAACATAAACTTCTTTTGGACTGAAGTTGTTGACAAACCTGGCCCTGATACTAACCCTGATCAATCACTACCACATACCACATTACAGGGGTGTAGGTTGTAACCGTGTTGGTGTAAGGACATAGGCAGGCAAGGTTCTTTGGGTGAATCTGATATTTTATTAGATCAACTTAAGTAGTTGAAAAAAAATTTTTAAGTAAGGTTGCTTAGATTTTTTTTCCAGCTACTTAAGTTGGTCTAATAAAAGATCAGATTCACCCAAAGAACCTTGTCTATCACATACCAGTATTCTGACTTCTTGCTATGACAAACTCCTACCCACTCAGGGTTTCATAGCAGTACTAAAAACACCAATGTGTTCAGTATTACTGATGCACATATGGACCAGCTTCCCCCCTCCCCACCTCTTCTCCAAAATAATGAGCAAATTATAACCTGAAGTCTCATCAGTACGAAGTGGTCCTGCAGAGAAAATTCTCTTTAAATAACAGAGCCTTAACTACATCTATTAACATATTACTGTTTAATGATGTATTTCAAATAGACACCTGCCCCCCCCAATCTAAAATTTGACAATAATAAAAAGTGTTCACTTTAATTAGTGGGACTGCAAGAAACACCAGTCTAACAGTTTGGAATGTCTTCTCACGCATCTGCAGAATCATTTTACAGGCTTTCAGTTAGTTACATTTCTTGGGGAACAGCATAATTCACAAAGCAGAGGCTTCACTTAAAGATCATTATTTCAAATTTCACCTCACTGGGCAGTAGTTAAAAAAGTAATATCCATTTGATGACTGTTCAGTGACCAGTTTGGCAAGTAAAATGAATTGGTAGCTCATTCCAGTTCATATCATACCACCACAATTAAAAGACTCCTGGTCTCTTGAAGATCAACAGCTGAGAAAAGGTGGAAGCCTTGCTATCATCCTACCCCCTAGAAAGGTTCACTGGGCTGAGAAAATAAGGCTTCAAACAGTACTGTCCAGAGCCAAAAAACATGCAAGGCTGGCAGGGGAGAGGGGAAACCAACACGCCCAGGACTAG